GAACATGCTTGGGCCGTAAAATCATGTCTATACATCATATGTTATGATTTTGGGGTCCTAAGCTCATGCATGCAAGTTTCTAGGCCGAATCTAAGCCCTAGAAGTGTCTTAGAGGGGTTTTGAGGCTTCAAAACACTCATATGAGGTGTTCACGGCCTAAGGGGGTTCCTAGACCGTAAACACTTGTTTATCGTCTCATTCCTCATAAAAATTCTGAATTTGAAGGTCTAAGATGCTAATTCATGAGTTAGGGAAGTTACCTTAGTAATTTGGAGCTTGTTTTGGATGATTTTGGCAAATTTTTGGATTTTAGAGAGAGAGAGTAGTGAGAGAAAGTTTTTAGAGAGAGAGTAAAAGCCTCAAAATGATGTCACTCAATCCCTTATATAGGGGTTGAGTTTATGGCGCGGTGGAATTCTACCCGATATTGTCGTTAGACGGTGCTTTTGGTCGCACCCGATAAAGTTGTCGTAATTACGACTTAAATAAAACTAAATATTTTCTAAATGAAATAGAAAATATTTTAATGTTTTAAAATGTATTCCAACACTTTTTTTAAAACATTAATAGAAGTCGCAATAATTTATTTAAAACGAAGTTAACGGAAAATTTTGGAACTTAACAGCTTTATTAACGAAAATGGGTTACAAATAATGGAACGAAATTCGGGTTGTCACAAAATGTTAGAGAAAGAGTCAATGAATTATCCCAATTCAAAACCTTAATCGAGAAGAACACGATACTACTCGTCGAGTGCACAATTTCTACTCGAAGAGTACATGGGTAATTACACGTAATAACTGCAAGTTATGATCAACTCACTGAGTACACGATACTACTCGCCGAGTAGATTGACAATTTTCAAGTTCCAGAGTTGTTTTGAGCATTTTCATTGCAGTACTTGTCCATTTTTCGTGAAGAGTTGTTACTGGATGTTTCTAGGAGTTTTTTCCTACATTTTTGAGTTATTTGCATGACTACCACACGAGATTTTGACACCCAAAACATGGATGAGCTATTTCCATATCCAAAGTCAATTGAAGATGGAGCTTAATGACGAAATATCAACTTCGCACTACTATCCCAGGGGAGTTTGTTCCAATTCTCTCTTTATTTTATGTTTTTTTGATCATGCATAATATGCAATGGGGACATTGCATAAATTAAGTGTAGGGTAGGGGGTTGGTTATATTAGTTAAAATTTTAGTTAATTTATGATAAATTTTGAACATTTTGCATTAAAATTGCTAGGGCTAATTTAGAAAATTTTGGTAAAAGAAATTAGAGATCATGCTAGTATTATGTTTGATGATTGTATGAAGACCCAAATGTTTAGTTGAGCCTATATACGTTCTAGTGCATTTGTGGCTTCCTTATTCTAGTGAAATCATGGGACAAAAACACAACCTCACTTAGTTTGAGGGATGCAATATGTTTAGCATCGTGTACCAGAAATGTATCCATGAAAATATTATCTTTAACCAATAAAGGTTAAAGTTGAGCGTCCCTGCTTAAGCATGTAGGATTTGAGTGAAAAAAAAGAAGAAAAAGAAAAAGAAAAACTGAGTTACATGTTAAAAAAAAGAGAGAGAATTACAAGAAAAGTTGTAAGAATTTTGGAGCAGTTAAAGTGAAGATCAAAAGATTAAAGTTCTAAAGAAATTCAAAAAGTTGAAGATGCCAAAAATCAAACAACAAGGTAGTGAATTCAAAGAAATCAAAGATCAAATGTCAAAGAAGTGAAGAATTCCAAAAGAACTCCATAGTGGTATCATAAATTGTAATTGTATAGATTATGTATGCTTTGGTAGCTCAACCAAAAATACCTTGAGGTTAGGAGGTTTTCTGCGGATGGATTTGGAGGGATGCATAAAATGAGCATTGTTCGGAAAAAGTGGGCGAATGTTTATGAGGATTGTGAGTATTTAGAGTATGGGGATCCTTAGGAAAAGTTTTAGACACAAATGCATGCGTTGCAGTCTTGGCATGATGGATGGGTTCGATTGGAGTTGTCTTATGTAATATTAGTGTACTAAAATTCAGTTTTGCTTGGGGGCAAGCAAAAGTCAAGTGTGTGGTATTTTGATATGGGCATATTTAGTTATAAAAATCATGCATGATCTTAATACTTTATGTTAATTTTATCTCAAATACTGAACCAAAGGTGCTTAATTAGCTTAAATATTTCATTTTCAGCAACAAAGACATGCTCTAAAGGAAAATGAAGCGAAATTGGTGATTGGAGGCTTGGATCTTGGATTTTGAGAAAAAAGAAGGATGTTGGTGGACAGCTTGACCCCTCGTCGGTGTTTTGGCCATATCTCATGAATCGTAACTCTGATTGAGGAGATTCAAAATGTTCTGAAAACTAGACACAATTTCGGACGACTTTCGTGTTTTGAGAAAATGCTGATTCTAAACGGACTCGACGAGTAGGACATCAACTTGACGAGTTGGTCAGAAGCTTCGCGATTCTTGACTTTTCCTTGCCGCACACGGGATTTTAAGTGATGGACTTGGCGAGTAGGTCACTGGACTCGCCGAGTAGCCCTTGTTTTCATAATATATATATAGAAATGCTTCTCATTTGAAACCTAACGAATGCGGGAAGTTTAGGACGATTTTTGGAGGCCAGAAGGGTTCTTAGAAGCTGTGGTTTTCGAGATTTCAACTTAGATATCAATTTGGGAGAAGTTCCCTTCGTTATTGAATTTAGGTGAATCTTTTCTTATCTAGTTTTTAGTTAAGTAGTCTAAGTATTAGTTGGTAAGTTTCTAGTCTTGCAAAACTAGAGAACCCCCCTTTCTATTACTTGTTTTATTTAGATAATATAAGCATTTATTTTAATTGTTTACCGTTCCCTGTGTTCGATACCCTACTTGTTTGAACTATATTACTAATCGATAGGTACATTGCCTTTCGTGTGTTTATTTTATGTCTAAGTTAGTAGGATTAAAACTAGTTCGTTTCACACACATCAATGTGCATTAGGATAAGGCCCATGTGAAGGACTTGGTCCTAATTTGGAAAATTGGGTCATAGGTGGGTCATAACTAAGCCTTGATGATTATGAGATATTAGGCCATAAGAATACCAAGAGTTTGGATTAGAATAAATGGATGGGCCTTAAGGAAAGACCATGTAAAGGTTTAGGCCCAATTTGGAAAATTAGGCCATATATTGGGCTTTGGCCCATTACTTGACTTTTGGGCCTTTGGAGGGTGAGTTCGACCTTAGGCTTAGAACCCAATTGTTAATTGGGTATTGTTTGATGTTGATAGTTCGGGAATTTGTCAACCAACAACTGGAGTTTTATCTGCGGGACTTCTATAGTACCAGGTGAGTTGTCCTTACTATGCTAATAAGGTCGAAGGCACAAATGTCGGCCCTTATTGGATTGGTATCCAAGTTTACTGCATGATATGCTTATTGATTTACATCCTGGTAGTTAGGATAGTGATTTTCTTAGTGACATGGTTAGGTCGGTATCCTAGTATATAGGATGATGTTATGTTAGTGACCGGTTAGGTCTATATCCTGGTTAAACACGCATAAAACCTTAGATCTAGCAATAAGGAAACAAAAAGTTTGAATATTGGTTACTCACAATGCTCCAAAGTTGTTGGTAGAGATTGCAAATGGAACTTCCAAGCTGAATCTATGCTTCAATACTGATCTCTTCTTCTTTAAACCACCAAAACTCCACTAAAAGCTCAAGAATCACAAGGAAAGGTTAAGGTTAGGGTTTTTCTGTGTTTAGGGAGGAATGAGGCTATTATGGAACCATAAAATGAAGTTTATGGGGTTTGAATAAGAAGGAAATCCTAAAAGATCATGGGCTTGGGCTGTAGCGCATCTCAAGTCGTGAGCTCTTATTGCTCACGCCGTGAGCTCAGCATAATCAAAACTTCATTTGATCACTACTCACGCTGTGACCTCTCTATGGCCACATTGGGAGTCTTGATTTTATCTAAAAACCATGTCTTTGACTCCTCGAATCCCTAAATTGATTCGATCTGGAAACCGGGTGTTACATTATAATATTCTATAAGTTCTTGTTGATGTAAGAGAAATTCAGAAATTAATATTTCCTTAATTTTTTTACCAACATCTACAAAATATCATGACAACATTTTATTTTATTTTACATTTCAAAAAGACAAAATTACATAAAATGGTCCATGTGGTTTACCAAAGGTCATGACAACATTTTATTTTATTCTGTCCTCCCCCTTCTTCTTTACCAAGATCCAAATGAAGTGTGGAAACGCAGAGTAAAAACAGAATACCATAAAAATAAAGTCAAATTACAATGCTTTTGAGAGTAGAGGGTTGTTCATTTTTGTATCAGCTACAGTAAAAGACTTTCAAAATTCGGGTTAGATGCTCTCTATCGATTCCAAAACGTGTATCAGAATCGTATAATTCGCGATCCAAACAACATCAAGTACGAAGCAATTGCATTTTCGGAACGTCAATTTCACAATCTAAATCGCGATCCCGAGCAAACCCAAAACGCAATCGTACCGCGTTTTGGTACGAGCGATCTGGTACGGAAAACGTGGCACTTCCAGCGAATTGTATGACTATGGAAATAACTAAAAGAAATTAGTCATTTATAAAGAATTAATGATTTTTAGCAATCTGAGGACCAAAATTGAAAGAAAATAACACCATAAGTATTGTCCAAGTAAAAAATTGAAAGGTGGACCAGAAGTATAAATTTAAGCTGGCAAAATGAATGTCAAACAATTGGATAACATGTCAAAACTGTTGAGTTCTTAATAGGGATGATTGATCTATAAGCATTTTCTCTGTCTATCTTTAGAATTTTATATAAATAAATAACGTCTTAGATAACAGATATGATTGCATATTATCCAATTGTTTGGATTAGAATTTGAGCTAATTTCAATATGACCCCTAAATCCCTAATCTTTGCTTAAATTCATACTTCCTGTCACCGTCTTCTTAGTGAGCACTTATGGCTTATCAATCTTCTACCTCTTTGCCTCCAAATCCTCATCACTTACCACTCTCTTTGTCTTCCCGTTACATCCATCCAAATTTACAACTTTTCCCTCTTCATTTGCATCATCTCGCTTCTTCAAGTTCTTTTGGTGGTGTTGTCTTGTTTGGTGAAATTTGAGCACCTCGGTAATGCTACAATTGATCCCACAAAGTTCACACGACACGGGATTAGGTCTGGTTGGTATTTCTGGGTTCTTCAATTTTTTTTTTTGGTGTTTTTGTCCTGTTAGGTGAACTTTGAGCACCTCAGTAGTGCTACAATTGATCCCACAAAGTTCACATGACACGGGGTTAGGTACAACTGGTTCTTCTAATTTGTTCAACTTCTTTTTTTGTTTTTGTCTCGTGAGGTGAACTTTAAGCACCTCGATAGTGCTATAATTGATCCCACAAAGTTCACATGACACGTGGCTAGGTACAATGGGTTCTTTTGATTTCTTCAACTTCTTTTTGTGTTTTTGTCTTGCTAGGTGAACTTTAAGCATCTCGTAAGTGTGACAACTGATCCCACAAAGTTCACACCACATGGTGCTACCTTCACGTGAATTAACAGCTTTGCCCTTGGTAGACTTTGGATTTTGCATAGGTTGGTGTCCAGTGAAGTGACAAACGCCAAGGATGGATCTGGTATTTTCCATAATTCTTTAAGTTTCCTGAGGTGTTTTTTCCCTAACATGTATCTGTTGAGGAGTTCAAAGCTGGTGTAGCTGACACCTCATAGGGTCTGGATTTATTTGAGCCTCACGAACCTTGTTTGATGTGGGGTTAAATACGCTCATTTTTACTCCCAACCTGCATGATTGCCTGCACTCTGTTTTTTTAATTGGACGGAATAATCATGTTAGTATCTAAATCTTATGTGAGAATAGTATAGGAGTAGGCTAGGTCGAAGTTTCATTTTCTCCATGGTCACTCTTTTATACCCAACTAGACTTGCTTTTAACTACAAAACTAGAAAATTATTTTATTTTATTTAAATCAAGTACAAAATAAAATATTTTAACTCTCTTAAGTCTTGACCAAAATCACAAATGACTACTACAATAATTTTTATAAAACACTAGTTGTAAGATCCGTATACTATACATGTTGATTAAAAAAATTAAATATTAAAATGTAAGCACACATTAAATCCTTTTTTAAATAAAATTTTGAAATAAGGAAAGAAAAACGTATTAATTACAATTACTATCATATTTATTGCATTTAATAATTTGCATATATAAGTATTATTTGACTTTTTAATTTAAAAAATTAGAAAAACCTAGAAATTGACATGTGGATATTATTTAATTTCAAAAATATAAAAAAAAATGACAAGTGTCAAAACTGATGAGAGATTGACATATGGCAAAATGGATATTCATTTATTATAGTTGACTAGGTGTGAGACCCATGTATTACATGGATTTATTGAAAAAATAATTAAATATGAAATTTTAACAATTTGAGAAGTTTGAATTTATAAGAAAATTGAGAAAAATTTTAAATTATTAAAATTAATGAGACTTTAATACATTACATATATCCTCATTAATAAATGAAAGTTTTTTTTTTTGTCAAATATCAATCTCTAATTAGTTTTGACACTTGTTATTTTATGGTATTTTTGAAAAAAAAATTATATATATATATATATATATATATATATATATATATATATATATATATATATATATATATATATATATATATAACTGTAATTTTAAAAATTGAAACAAACCAAAAATTGAACTCCAGCTTCGTGAAGATGAATTGTAGTTTTATTTGTGCTTGTTTACATGATTATCTTTAATAAATAAACTTAAAATTTATTTGCAATTGAATCTAACTGTTTGTTGGAACTTGGAAAGACTACTGAATGTATAAGATTTAGGGCTATATTTGTGTAGTTCAATTTCCATGTAAATCGTAGAGGACTCAATCAATTTAAGCTTAATGTTTACTTTGATTTTGATATGCCTATTGTGCAAGAAAATTGAAAGGAAGGGAAGAACCACATACAATAAGGTTAGTAGATTCAGCTATTTCTTCTTTTACTTTCTTTCCCCTGTTTTTTGTTACCCATGAACACAAATTGAAATCAAACAAAGCAACGATTCCATTCCAGATTACTAAAAACTGAAATGGAATGTTGAATTTCAGGTTGCAGATGAACTTGTGGCTGAATTTTCAGACCCTAGCAATGTTGTTCATGTTGCCACCCAGGCTCATGCAAGTTTATTTGATTATATTCCTATAGATTTCTATGAATAACTTATTTTTTTAGAGTCATGAAATCCGTTTGAAGCTGGTTTTAAAGCATTTCATGAGGTGTTGGATTTACGTAGTCCTCCAAAGTTTGAGCTTCAAATGGGTCACAACACAAATGGGTTTCATATTCACAGTAAGTTACGAAATTTTGGTTCTATATTTGAAGGAGTGTTGGTTGAAAAAAATGTTCCAAATTTGTTAATTGCAATAGTGTTGAGGTTTGCACAGCACAACATAGTTGATATTGATAATTGAGTTGTTATCCTGATTTTACATGCCACAAATAATCATTGATTACGAATCTCACCAAAAGACACCATTTCATATTGTTAATACATTAATCTATTCAGTGAACATGATAATAATAATGTTCCTAATGTTATATCATCACTTCACACATCATTTAAACATGCGGCTAGTTATCAAGTAAATTACTAAAGTCATATTGATAAGTTTGTATTTTTTTCTGTTTTCTCGTTTTGAGTCTTTTGTTCCTAAAGTTTTAAAATGGTTGCAAGCCTTTAGTGGACTATAATCTTCATAAATGGTTTTTCCAAAATATCAAGGTTTTTTTTTTTTTTTTTTTTTTTTTTTTTTGATCTCATTGAAAGTCCTTATGATTTCAATATTTATTGTGACCGGTCCCTAATCATATGAAATGATTAATTTACATTTTTATTTTATTTTTTTCATTTATTTTTATCACAACTTAAAAAAAAAAAAAAAAAAAAAAAAAAAAAAGTCATCCCATGTGTGGATCTAGTATGGGTTTCCTCTCTTATGGGCTTGAGGAATGAGGTTTTAATTTTAGTTTTTGCATGGATCAGAGGGAAACATATATGTATGGATCTAATAGGGTTTCGACTCTTGTGAGCTTGGAAAATGAGGTTTTCACTAAGAGGCAGATTGTTCTAAAAGCTGCATCATGCAAAGTGGCCAAACATGATAAAACATGCATGAAAATCGACACACGTTTATACCTTTTGCGTTTGATACTTTAATACTTTCGGTTTCCTTGCGCCGAATGTTGTGAAGCTCCTCAATTGAGTTTAGCGGGTTACACATAAAAATGTTACGACCCAAGATCTAGGGATGTTTTTAAAAGCTTTTTTTTTTTTTTTACATTTCAAAAGAGTGCACGACACAAATTGTTCCTTGCTTACTCGCTACATCTATCTAAAACTTATATTAGGTTTTAATAGAGGTTGAATTTATAAACTACAATTATACTAAAAATAAATACTACCCCTACCCTATCCTACCCTCCCCCTCTTCTATAATACTTATCTTTAAGAGACCACCGTCAGCGACCAACACCGCTACCACCAAACCTCTATCTGTCGTCATTGGACCTACGTCATCACTATAACCAAGACCATCTCCAAAAGGTTGCAACTGCACCCTATCCCCCCACAGTCTCTTCCGCTTACCCTCAACTACCATCCATCTCTTCTGGTTACCCTCAACCACCACTAAAGTCCACTAGGTCCACTCACACCACCATTACTAATCCATTTATACATTAACAGTACCAATTGGCTCAATATTAGTTGTGAGACCGTGAGACTTTGAGGGTTGAGATCATGAGAATGAGATGTTGCACGGAAAGCCAGAGCATAACTTTGAGTTATTGTGCAATGATCAATTGATTCAATACACGTACAAAGTTTTTAAAAAATATATTAATAATTAAGTAATAAATAATTAAATATTGTATAAAATTATGTAATTTAATGTATATATATCGGTGCGGTTACTTTTTTTTTTTTTTTTTTTTTTTTTTTTGTGGTTTTTGCAAAACTGCAGCAATCCTACTGAAAATTTTCAGTTTTTGCAAAACTAAGAACCGCATAGTCAGTTTTGTTTCGTTTTTTGGGTTTTTTTATTTGCAGTGCGAGTTTGACTCACCTTACCATTAATGTCGACATCAATAGGTGACATGTGACCATTAGTGATGAAGCAATAGTAGCGACATATTAATGATAGCATGTATCACCCTTGTCCCATGTGGTCCTTAAATCTTGTAGTGTAATTGCATATTTCTTTATGCATTGGAATTATTTTTGGTTCTTAATTTAGTAGCCCCAACCATCACCTCCTATTTAGATCTCTATTTGTCATTGTCTTATTCCTTTACTTTCCTAGAGGGGCAAACTTTACTTTCGTAGAGGGGCAAACTTGCTAGGCGACATTTTCATAGGATACTAAGAAATGAACTTCTTGCTTTTCTCGCATGACATAGCTAGGATGTAACAACCTCCCAAACAATACCCACTTAACTAACTTGTAGAAAGGACAAACAATACATTGTGTCAACTAATAGAATTGTTTATATTAACTTGTAGAAAGGACAAACAATACATTGTGTCAACTTATTTGATTGTTTATATCTCGTTCTAATGGCCAGCATATTGTTTCTTTCCCCTTCTTGCAAAAAGACAAAGAGAATTTTTGTAAACGGCCACCGATTTGCAAAGAATATGTTTCTAAGTCACAATGTAACTATACTGTTACAACACATGCATTAATTTTGAGGTTTCCATTTAATTTATATAATAAAAAAATAGAAGATTGCTAATTATTCTTTAAACATTAAGTTTATTAAACCTGAAAGTGCACCTAGGGTTCATCTCATCACCAAGTTTACTAATTAATGAGCATAATTAATGGCCCTATTGTTTTGATGGAAATAGGAACCTATGATTAGCTTTTCAGAAATTTAGAGAATAATTTCAGCAAAATGATTTATATGGTATAAAAATGGCTATAGCAAGATATCTCTTATTTGTATTAATATCTATTATAGGACGGACGAGGAAAACTAACCAATGATATATAAAATTGTTGAAAGATGAATCTGACAATCAATCATACGATACATTTATGATTACATTTTTAGATATAAGAAAAACTATTATGATGTACACAAGGCTAAAGTAAAGTCACTCAAATTGTCTCCTCCCTAGACTTTATAATATCATGTTCCTGTTCATTAACAAGATTGGCCATACTGTTGTCATTGTGCTGAATAGAAGACAATTAACATACATTTTTTACTGTGTTACGAGGTCTAAGAGGATCCTTCGTACGTTATTTTGCTGGTGGTTGTACAAGCGTCCATTAAAATGGCAAGAAATCAGCCAATAAAAATTGTTTGAAATTCCACGAGAGTGCACTCTCTAAAGTTCATCCAAATCATATTGACAGCTTCTGAAACAAGATTTAATTCTGATTCAACAACAAAATGTCATTTTTTTAAACCTTTTTGTGTGCTTGATTTAATCAATTGGATTATACTAGCTTCAGGTTTGCTTTTAAAATGTGATTTTTACGAGATTTTTTTTACATTGTTTTATCGCATTGGTCTGCAGTATTTTTAGTTCTC